TGTGTAGATTCGTGTATGCAAAGCTTCTATGTAGCAGCTAGACTAGACATGGTGCACATATACGTTTACATACTGCTTCTTCGGGCTTTTCTCTTTACTGTGGAATCTACGGTGACACAGGGATGTGCAAGGTCTCAAAAACTTCTGCACTTATCCATCTTTGTCTGTGTCGAAGCAGGGCAGATGTACAAGTTTTTCTTTGCCTTCCAGGAAACTCTAAACCCTAAACCCTATACCCTAAACCCTAAACCGCTCATTGCCGAGTGAATAGATTGAATGGACAGCATGTCCGAAGCCCTCGTCGAGACCAGGAAAGGCCGCCGGGCAATTTAGCCAAACAGTAAAGGGGACAGCTATCCTTCGGGCAGACATGTCAAACTGAAGGGTACTTCTGGGGGACACCTAAACCGTGCTAATCCCCGCGGGAAATGTGCAAAGCCCTTCTAAAGCTTACACATCCCCTTCAAAACCCTTACGAACGCCCAACACCCTTCTGAAACCCTAAAACCGCCCGTAAATGCCAAAACATAAACACTTAACCCTTGCAACCCTAAACCCATGCAGCCCTAAACCCTGAACCCTAAACCCTGAACCCTAAACACCTTAAGCCAAAAGTCCCAATGGTGCTATTGCGGCCACGGGAGCGTGGAGAGCCACGTTCTCGCCAAATTCAGAGCCTCACCAGGTGACTGTTAGGGCCTTACCTACAAGACGAGAAGTCTACATGTAGTTATAGGGCGAGTTATGATCTCCTGGAAAGGTTGGGCTGGGCTACAGGTGTAGACCGAGCTTCGGATAACCCTGAGTGTCTCAGTTTGAGATGTGTGGTATTTGGTCGCTTTGGCTTCTGGCTTTGGGCGTCGGGTTTGGGGCTGTTGAGGCAAGTAATTGAAAAGTACAGACTTGGGCTTTAAAGGTACTGCGATGTAAGAACTTTAGGGAAGAGCTATAAAGGCACGTCTATGTAAGTCTGTATATGTAAAGAACGAAAACGGGCATAAATCAACGCAGGATAGCAGTAACCAGCAAACCCACAACCACGTTTGTGATTCAAACGGTGCGATAGAATCCGAAGGCAAGAAGGCAATTTCAAGAATCTCCCAACCTTCAAAACACCACCTTCGACTTCCTGAACCCGTAATTGGTTGAACCCTAAACCCTTTACCGCATTTAGGGTGTCGGGTGTAGGGATGCTTAGGGCTTAAGGTTTCAGGGTTTAGGGCTTTAAGGGTGTAGTCCCAATAACCCGACACCGGACCCATCAAAGCATCCCTCCACATAGAATCCTTGTCGTCTTAGATTTCGCATGGACTACGGTTTAGGGGTTCAGGGGGTTTAGGGTTTAGTTGTCTTGAGTTTTGGATTTGGGGTTTGGGGATTAGGGTTAAGGCTAAGGGTTCAGGGGTTTATAAGATGAAGGGAACCCTCACACCTAAAGCTTGAACCCTACACCCTGGTCCGTTTGAGCAACATAGGTCGGAGCTTCAATCCGATATTCATTTGGGTAGTTCTCTAAACTAGGGTCTCTTTTTAGGGTCCATGTTATAAGGGTGCCGTACTATATTGGGGACCTAGCAAGGGACCCTAATTCAGAGAACTACCCATTTATTGAGGTCATTTCCTTCAAAGGAGCCCTGAAAAGAGCCCTAAACGGATCCTGCAAAGGAAACTGCAAAAGTTCCCTGAAAGGCTCTGTTGGGTTTGGCTTTTAGGATTGAATAATGCGGGCTCTCTATGATCGAAACACTGGCTTTTTGGGATAAGAACTACAGTAGCTATCTGCAATGCGGCATGAACGTCAGATCGGCCAACAGCCCGTCATATGGCTTAAAATTCAATGAACATCCTGGAAAACTTGAAACTGTGGCGGGTTCTCAAAAGCTCCTACATGTAGAGGTTGTGGTCAAGTTGGACCCCGTGCTATGTACATTTTACGGCTACAACTTTTACCAAGAATATCCAAGTAGGGCTGATAAATAAGTGACACTGAAAAATGGGCTGCAAGATTTAGCGCCGGTGTCTTAAGTGGTAGAATTTACTGCCCTAAACCGTGAACCCTACAGGGGTGTTGCGGAAGTTCAGGGCAGCACAAGCTCCATCTGAGATAGGGTTCCGGGACTCAGCTACTAAGGGGCCCGGGTTCTGGGTTTGGGAAGACCCGTCCAATCATTAATAATTTTGCAAGGTCTGCATATCCTCAACTATGTTCATCTTGCGCCTTTCCATGTACCTTCTATTAACATATGGTATATACTTCGGCCACAAAGTTACTATGTTAAACCCTTTCAAGCACATATATGTGCTGCATGGGCACAGGACGACATAACATAATTAGGCACCACAACACTCGTGTCCTGGACCTTCAACCAGGCTCTGAGCTCAACCTCGGCATCCATCGCGGTTTCGCCGGTCAGGAACCAAAAAGGTGGATTGACTTCCGTCTGCGTGTCGAGCAATGTCTATGGGCCAAGGAAAGCGCAGCAACATTGGCAGAAGGCTT